ACTCCATGAAGTCTTGTTTTCATTCCTGTTGTTCCTGGAATGAGCACGCCCTGTCTCTCCCCCCCCCCCCCCCCCCCCCTCACATGATGTTGGCCTTATGAACAGCCGTCACACTCGTCCTCTGGTTGTTTCTGGCGTACTCAAAGGCGTATTCAGCGATGCGTCTGCTGGCGTCCTCGGTGATCAGTTTGATGCTCTGGACCACACCCTCCACGATCTACAGGGACCAGGACCAGAGGACAGTAAGACCAGAGGACATTAAGACCAGATCCTTAAGGGGGGTCCGAGTGGAGAGAGAGACAGGAAGTGCTCATTCCAGGAACAACAGGAATGAAAACAAGACTTCATGGAGTCCACCAGGAGGATCCATGTGGAGTGGAGGACAGGAAGTGACATCACACATGCACTGGGACACGCCCACTGCCAGATCCAGAACTGACGCTTCGGTTTAGTTTCAATCAGACTCAGAATGGGGAGGAGCTTCACGGTGAGTTCAGACACTGTGACAGCCAATCAGAACGGAGCTCCTCCAGAAACCAGAAGTCGTTACTGAACCAGGTTTTGATAAGAGACGTTAGCTTTGGTGGGTGGTTTCTAGTCCCACCAGTAACAACTGGGTTCTGGTCTGAACACACACTGTTTCCAGTCTCTGTGCTAATGCTAAGCTAAAGGCTATAGACTTCCTGTCACCGACAACAGGAAGTAACAAAAGGTTTTGAATGTTTTCTTCTTCTGGACTTTAAATTCAGATCTGAGCTGACAGTGTAAACACAGACTGTACTGGTCCACATCAGGACCGGACTGTACTGGTCCACATCAGGACCGTACTGGTCCACATCAGGACTGCACTGGTCCACATCAGGACTGTACTGGTCCAGTTCTTACCCTGAAGAGGAGCAGGTCCTGTCCTCAGGTGACCTACAGGTGAATTAATTCCACAGTTTAACCTGATTAGAGATGTTGATTTTTGACAGACGTCAGAGTCTAAATGAACAGATATATGGTGGGTCGTTGTAGACCAGCTGCTATCTGTTGACGTGGCTCATGAATCATCAGCGATCAGTGTGGACTCTCACCACGTGTTCGATGCCGCTGTACTCGCCCTCCGTGTTCTCCCGGATGGTCACCAGGTTGACGTCGGTGTACGGAGTCTTGTAGCCCTCGATGGAGATACAAGGCCTCACGTTGGCATACAGGTCAAAGGTCTTCCTCAGCAGCAGGTTCATGGAGGGGTGGCCTGCAGCAATGGGGGTCTTCAGGGGTCCTGGAGGAGAAGAAGAGGACCTGGACTCAGAGAGGAACCACCAGAGACTCGAGATCAGTTCAGTTCAGGGAGGATCATTATTGATCTGTGAAGATTTATTTAAAAGGTTTAAAACTAAGTTTTATTGATCCGGTTAGATCCTAACAAATATGTTCAGAAATTAAGTTATTTGTAATAAAATGGAATGACACAGGGAAAAAGTATTTAATACTTGGTACAAAAGCCTTTGTTGGTAATGATGCTTCCTGTGTGGAGAAACTAGGCGCATGCATTGCTCAGGTGTGGTTTTGGCCCATTCTTCCACACAAACAGTCTTCAAATCTTCAAGGTTCCATGGGCCTCTTCTGTGAACTCTGATCTTTAGTTCTTTCATAGATTTTCTATTGGATTCAAGTCAGCTGATCGTCTGGGCCATTCTAGCAGCTTTATTTTATTTCTCTGAAACCAGTTGAGCACTTTGGGGACATAATCCGGAAGTGGAAAGAACATCATTTAACCATGAACCGTTCACGACCAGGTTCTCCTCGCAAGATTTCTGACAGAGGAGTGAAAAGAATTATCAGAAGAGTCGTCCAAGAGCCAAGGACCACTTGTGGAGAGCTTCAGACAGACCTGGAATGAGCAGGTACAATAGTTTCAAAGAAAACAATAAGTAATGCACTCAACCGCCGTGGCCTGTATGCACGCTCACCACGCAAGACTCCACTACTGAAGAAAAAGCATGTTGAAGCTCGTTTAAAGTTTTCTGCACAACATTTAGACAAGCCTGTGAAATACTGGGGAATATAGTCTGGTCAGATAAGACCAAGATTGAACTCTTCGGATGCCATAATACACACCATGTTTGGAGGTCAAATGGCACTGCACATCACCCCAAAAACACCAAACCAACAGTGACGTTTGGAGGTGGGAGCATCATGTGTGGGGCTGTTTCTCAGCAGACGGCACTGGCAAACTTCATATGATTGAAGGAAGGATGAATGGAAAAATGTTCTTGATAAAACTCTGCTCCCATCTACCAGGATGATGAAGATGAAACGAGGGTGGACATTTCAGCACGACAATGAACCCAAACACACAGCCAAGGAAACTCTCAACTGGTTTCAGAGAAATAAAATAAAGCTGCTAGAATGGACCAGACAATCCCAAATTCAGTATCTCAGAAAATTAGAATATTGTGAAAAGGTTCAATATTGAAGACACCCGGTGCCACACTCTAATCAGCTAATTAACTCTAAACACCTGCAAAAACCTTTAAATGGTCTCTCAGTCTAGTTCTGTAGGCTACACAATCATGGGGAAGACTGCTGACTTGACAGTTGTCCAAAAGACGACCATTGACACCTTGCACAAGGAGGGCAAGACACAAAAGGTCATTGCAAAAGAGGCTGGCTGTTCACAGAGCTCTGTGTCCAAGCACATTAATAGAGAGGCGAGGGAAGGAAAAGATGTGGTAGAAAAAAGTGTACAAGCAATAGGGATAACCGCACCCTGGAGAGGATTGTGAAACAAAACCGATTCAAAAATGTGGGGGAGATTCAGAAAGAGTGGACTGCAGCTGGAGTCAGTGCTTCAAGAACCACTACGCACAGACGTATGCAAGACATGGGTTTCAGCTGTCGCATTCCTTGTGTCAAGCCACTCTTGAACAACAGACAGCGTCAGAAGCGTCTCGCCTGGGCTAAAGACAAAAAGGACTGGACTGCTGCTGAGTGGTCCAAAGTTATGTTCTCTGATGAAAGTAAATTTTGCATTTCCTTTGGAAATCAGGGTCCCAGAGTCTGGAGGAAGAGAGGAGAGACACACAATCCACGTTGCTTGAGGTCCAGTGTAAAGTTTCCACAGTCAGTGATGGTTTGGGGTGCCATGTCATCTGCTGGTGTTGGTCCACTGTGTTTTCTGAGGTCCAAGGTCAACGCAGCCGTATACCAGGAAGTTTTAGAGCACTTCATGCTTCCTGCTGCTGACCAACTTTATGGAGATGCAGATTTCATTTTCCAACAGGACTTGGCACCTGCACACAGTGCCAAAGCAACCAGTACCTGGTTTAAGGACCATGGTATCCCTGTTCTTAATTGGCCAGCAAACTCGCCTGACCTTAACCCCATAGAACATCTATGGGGTATTGTGAAGAGGATGATGCAAAATGCCAGACCCAACAATGCAGAAGAGCTGAAGGCCACTATCAGAGCAACCTGGGCTCTCATAACACCTGAGCAGTGCCACAGACTGATCGACTCCATGCCACGCCACATTGCTGCAGTAATTCAGGCAAAAGGAGCCCCAACTAAGTATTGAGTGCTGTACATGCTCATACTTTTCATGTTCATACTTTTCAGTTGGCCAAGATTTCTAAAAATCCTTTCTTTGTATTGGTCTTAAGTAATATTCAAATTTTCTGAGATACTGAATTTGGGATTTTCCTCAGTTGTCAGTTATAATCATCAAAATTAAAAGAAATAAACATTTGAAATATATCAGTCTGTGTGTAATGAATGAATATAATAAACAAGTTTCACTTTTTGAATGGAATTAGTGAAATAAATCAACTTTTTGATGATATTCTAATTATATGACCAGCACCTGTATATATAGATATATATTAGTGCTGGGTTACGGTTAAAATATTTAATCGCGATTAATCGCATTGTTATGGCAAAGTTCAATAATGAATTCAAAAGTAGTGTATTGCGCACTTATATTTTAAAAGTACTGCTATATGAACAAAAGGGCAATAACATTTGCTTCACGAGATGCAGGTAGCATGTTTTATACTTAATGTGAATATAATTCATACTTTGTTGGCATCTTATTCTGAAAACCGGATGTTCGTCTGAAGAAACCGGATGTTGTCTCACGTTAATCTTTCCGCTAACTTTCAAAGTCCTTCGCTCGCTCCCGATCTGTACCGTTTAAATGCCTTTACCGTGAATGTCAGCATATAAGGTGCACTAAAATTACTGACTATGGGATGTTTGCTGGATTTTATCTCACTGTTCTTCTCATCCTCTTGTTGTTATGTCTATGTATTGTCTCTTGTCTTTCAATTAAAAAAAAAAAAAACAGAAAAAAAAACCAATTATAATAAATTTTAAAAAATGCGTTAACGCGCGATAAAATAATTATCGGTGTTAATTAATGAATGCGTTAACGCGAAATTGACGCGTTAACTTGCCCAGCACTAATATAAATATATATATATATATATATATATGAAAAAGAAATAGAGGCTTTATATGCTATAAATATTGAACTGTTAACAGATTTGTTGTCACATGGACGGTTGCCTTGTTTTGGTTGTTTATTCTGACTTAAGCGTTAACCTAGATAGAACATCTGTATGTTGTAGTCCAGATGTTGCTCACCCTTCAGGCCGATCTTGCTGCGGTCCATAGACTCTTTAGCATCAGGAGGGATCATCCATCTTCCACCCGGTCCTTTAATGGCCGTCACGTTCCTCTCCTCCCAGCTGATCGGAGCCTGAAGGTAAAACAAGGTGAGCAATGAGCTGCTGCTGCTTGTAAGAAAACATCTGGATCAAGGTGAGCAATGAGTTGCTGCTGCTCGTAAGAAACCATCTGGATCAACGTGAGCAATGAGCTGCTGCTGCTCGTAAGAAACCATCTGGATCAACGTGAGCAATGAGCTGCTGCTGCTTGTAAGAAAACATCTGGATCAACGTGAGTTGCTGCTGCTGCTCGTTAGAAACCATCTGGATCAACGTGAGCAATGAGCTGCTCGTTAGAAAACATCTGGATCAACGTGAGCAATGAGCTGCTGCTGCTCGTTTGAAAACATCTGGATCAACGTGAGCAATGAGCTGCTGCTGCTCGTTTGAAAATATCTGGATCAACGTGAGCAATGAGCTGCTGCTGCTCGTAAGAAAACATCTGGATCAACGTGAGCAATGAGCTGCTGCTGCTCGTTAGAAAACATCTGGATCAACGTGAGCAATGAGCTGCTGCTGCTCGTTAGAAAACATCTGGATCAACGTGAGCAATGAGCTGCTGCTGCTGCTCGTTAGAAAACATCTGGATCAACGTGTGATGTCACTGACCTTTGCAGCCTCAAAGATCTTCATGACGGCCGTAGAGATCTCTGGTCCGATCCCGTCACCTGGGATCAGTGTGACCGTCTGCATCTGTGGAGACGAGAGACAGACAGGTGGTTAGAGTGTGTGTGTGTGTGTGTGTTAGTGTGTGTGTTTCAACCTTTTCTGAGTCGCGGCACACCAACAACCAAAAACGTTACAAAATGACACCTTTTAGCATAATACAGCATACTGTATATGCAGGGTGTCAAACTCAATCACACAGGGACTACATTGAGGGCCAAATAGAGTCACCATATAATAAACAGGACAGAAGGGATATTGGACAAAGTGCAAAAAGAATACATGTTTAGGTAGGCTACATTATTGTATGCATACGTACCAGAGCCAGATGTTTGGCATCTTTTCTTGGCTGCCAGTTCATTAATATCTGGGTTAGGTTCTGTGGAAACCCTCACGATGGAGTGAAGGTGCATCAGTGAGACTCCTGTGTGGGTTTGTGTTCATCTTCATCACAGAGAACAGCTGCTCACACAGGTATGTGCTTCCAAACATGCAGAGCGTTTGAGCAGCATGTAGGCGGAGTTAAGGCATCGTTTCGGGGTGAAGCTTGGAAACTGTGCAGCGCCCTCAGAGTCACACTTTACCTTGAGTGTCATTACACTGGAGGTCTATCAGCTCCACAGGTGCTCTTTAAACGTCAACTGCAAACGGATTGCTGAGCAGTTCAGATTTAAATTTCTGAGCTGCAAAGTCGGCAAATCGCAGAGTGAACTCTGTGCCAAGTGCACCCAGTTTATCAGCAACATGCGCAGTCAGGAACACAGCGGTGGAGACACGGTTTGGAAACACGGACAGTGACCCAAGTTTCCTTTCTGCATCCAAGTCTCCCACAGGCGCAGCTTGGCCTGGAAAGCTCTCACTGCATCACACATGTCTGTGATCACACATGTCTGTGATCACAGACATGTGTGATCACAGACATGATCACAGACATGTGTGATCATGTCTGTGATCACTAGGGGTGGGGGAAAAAAATCGATACAGCATAGTATCGCGATATTTTGCGTGGCGATATTGTATCGATACACGGACGCCAAGTATCGATCTTTTATTATATAAACTATACATTTTTTTTTTTTTAGAAAAATCAAATCAATTGCTTTTTCAGTCCACTAGATGGTGCCGAGTTGTTTTCTGGTGAGGTCAGCAAAGGTCCCAGGTCAGCATGACTGGTAGGAAGTTGGTCAAAACAAAGATAGAGACATCTGGCCTCACAACGGGGTTAAATCTGCCAACAGTAGCCAGACTCATGGGGAGAGTGCAGCGCACAACTGGCTCTCTGCCCTCGACATCCACACATCACAAGTTATACTGAGTTATATAACTCTTATATCCTACTTATATAACTTATAGACACGTTTGCATTTAGTTAAGTTGGACTGTGTAGTAATACAAACGGTTCAGTTTGTCAGGTTCATGCAACATTTATGACATTGTTGGTCAGTCTGTCTGCTTGACAATCATATTCTGCTGCAATAAAAATGATTGAAGTGAGATGAACAGACTGAAAACTTTATCTTATTAGATAAAACATGTTGACACAGTTTTCCTTTGGGGACATAATTTGAAGTTGAAAAAAGTAATAAATAGCAATACTCAGAATATCGCAGTATCGTGATAATATCGTATCGTGATAATATCGTATCGCGGGACCTCTGGTGATTCCCACCCCTAGTGATCACACGTCCCCGTCCCTGAAGCTGCAGGTTTAGCGCAGTGAGATGCTTCGTTATGTTGCACATAAAGCCAGCTCACATCGCCACTTTTCTTCCCGGAGCTCTGTGGTGGCGGGACAGTTCTGATAAACATGATATTTTCTGGCGGGCCGTTGTACCGAGGGCCGGATATATGCTGACAATTTAATGACAAGTCTCTAAATGCGTTGATCCATACTAGGCTTTTCATCTGGGTTTTGTTGTCCAGGGCCCAGTTCAGAGTCTACATTTTTCCTTTCCAAATATTTCTCCATCTCTGTTTGTCTTGTCACCGCAACCTCTCCCATCATTTCATTCTACTGTCCTACACGTCATTACTGCGCTACTTACTGCCCCCCACTGGCATGGAAGAGTATTTATTACTGAGTCAGACACTATGTTGCAGCTCAGACACTCAACAATGGCAAAGTATTTGCAGCAAATAAATAATATTTTATTGGACATTTTCCCACGGCACAGCTGATGATCTCTCATGGCACAGCGGTTGAAAATCACTGTGTTAGTGTGTGTGTGTGTGTGTGTGTGTGTGTCTCCTCACCCCTCTGGAGAAGGAAGCTGAGGACAGAGTGTGTCTCCTTGTTGCCCCCCCCACCACCTGAGACAGCTAAGAGACATGAAGGTCACGTTAAACAGCTGCTCTAACCTCTACCAATAAATCAAGTTATTATCAACATAACATATGGAGAATAATAATCTTGTATTTATGCATATTTACATGCATTAAACCTGATAAGAGTCACATGATAATCATATAGTTTGGGGTTTTATTTGACTAAGTGAATGTGAGTTTATTACAGAATCGTTTCAAATCAACTACATCTTTACTGCCATACAACTCTATGGTGGAGTTTATATATGTATGCCGAATTAAACAACACAACCTCTTCTTCTTTAAGAGTTCTTCGCTTCTTCTCTGCGAGCTGTGGATTCAGCCCAACATGCAAGCTGACCTTAAACTGGTACATTTTTAAACAGTTTGGTTTTGAGCCGTTAGCTCAGCTAGCTTCAGCTACTGTGTGAAGGACACACACACCATGCTAACATGCTGAGCTAGCTACACTGAGTGTCATCCCGCTGAAGGACACACACCTAGCTAGCATGCTAACGGTTAGCGTACTAAAGTCTCCGTTAACACCGTAGAGACACCGTGAACCTTCTACTCTCACGTATTAAACTACTCGTCTCTGCTTATAACGTCCTCTCTGACTCTCAGTGGTATATGACGCTTATTTTCTCACCATTGACCTCCACGCGCTGCCTGCCATCCTGCTGCTTGATTAGTGATCAAAGATCCTCTGATTGGAGGAGAACGGTACGAGGAGGGCTCACTCTGAGGGGAGGACGAGCACGAGACAAAGATCCTCTGTTAGGAGAGAGAGAGCGAGAGAGAGAGAAGAGGGCAAACTCTGAGCGATTTCTCCACCACCACGTTATAGACAGAGAGAGAGACAGAGAGACAGACAGATGGATAGATAGATAGATGGATGGATGGAGTTTAGTCATTCTTATATACATAGACATATATATATATATATATATATATATATATATATATACAAATATATATTATATATATGTATATTTATTGATATATGTTGTTGTTTTTCACTACTTGTGTTCATAACATTCTCTTCTTCACTTTTATCCGTCTAGCTCTCTTTCTGTTTCTGTGTGAAACTGAACCCAAATAATGTGATTATGATTCACAAAAGACTGATTTATTTTACTCTTTTCTTTTACTTTTTCTTTTTCTTTGTTTCCTGTTAACTTGAGTTTCATTTATTTGTTTTAAATCTCTGGTAAAGTTTAACCTGAAGTGTAAATGTTGATTAATCAGTGAGAACATGAAGCGATATTTGTTTTTCAAATAGTTTCATGTGTGAATGAACTGTTCCTCAAAGAGCCTCCGAGGGACCAATAAAGAATAAAATATAATAAAATAATCTGAGTTTTGAGAAGCTTCACAGTTCATATTTATTTATTTGTTGTTGTTATTGTCCTCACAGATTCGGTCACGTGATGGTTAAATAACAGCATGACATGATGCGTTCAGGTTCTTCTGTATTATTCATGTAAACTGCTGTGATTGGCCAGAATACGCAAGGGCGGGGCTTAGTGACGTCACCGTCCTGAGAAGTTAGATTACAAAATAAGTCTTTCACTCACAAAAGTACATTTAGAAATATAAGCTGCTATAAATGAATAATAATAAACTTAATAATTATATGATAAAATGATTACAACTGTTATAAAAATAGTTATCATTATTATTATCATTTGTATCATTATTATTATTTTATATTATTATTATTTTCTTTTTATCATTATTATTATTTTCTTTTTATTATTATTATTATTATTATTATCATTGTCACTATCATTATTATTTAATTTGTATTATTATTATTATTACATTACTATTTTATTTGTATTATTATCATTATTAACATTATTATTATTATCATCATTATTATTGTTATTATTATCATTATTATTATTATTATCATCATTATTATTATTATTATCATCATTATTATCATCATTATTATTGTTATTATTATCATTATTATTATTATTATTATTATCATCATTATTATTATTATTATCATGTGAACTGTTCAACGTGTATTTCTTACTTATTTGTTATATTTTAACACTTCATAAACACGGTCATGTATAAAGGTCTGTAACTCTCATCATTGTATTTTCCGAGCAGCCCTTGAAGGCATCACGCTGATACCCGCACCGCCCCCCCATCACCACCACACACCCCCCGCACCGGTGAGGCGTAACAATCACCTTCTCCTCTGCAGCTGAGACCAGAACTATACTGAGCCCGGATCAGGAGCATGAACGCATAGACCGGGTCTCCTGCTGGACCGGATGCACCATGTGGTCCTGAATGAGCTCAGACGGACCTGAGATGTGATGGGAGAGGAGCAGGATGGGCAACAAGCAGACAACCTTCACGGAGGAGCAGCTGGAGGCGTTTCAGGTCTGGACCTGGTCCATAACCATCATTATTATTATTAATATCTTCATTATTGTTGTTGTTATTGTTGTTATTATACTGTAATAACAACACAGCATGAAGCAGATTCCTCTACACATCCATCATCTCCTTAATTAAGACGGAGGAGCAGGCAGGCCTGTGATTGGCTGAGCCGCCTCTCTCTCTGCATCACGTGACGCTGAGTGACAGGGTGTAAGCGGATCCTCCCCTGGGGACAAGCACCGGGTCTGTGACTCTGTGTGTGTGTGTGTGCGTGTGTTTACAGGACTGCACCTTTTTCACCAGGAAGGAGATCCAGCGGTGAGTTTACCAGGAAACAAACAACAACAACCACAACACACCTTTATCACCTTTGAGTGAGGGGGCGGGGCTACACATTATATATTATATATCTAATAATAATCAGCTGTTTTATGTTCAAGCTCCAGAGTTTAGAAGCTTTATAGAGAAATGTAAAGCTTCCGTAAACATGTTTTCTTCTAATTTCTCAATAAAAATATATGTTTAAATGAATAATAATAATCAGATTAGTGACATCACCTTTTTACCTAAGCCCCGCCCACTTTAATGCGGAGATAAAGCATGTGATTTTAAACAAACTAAAACATTAAAACATAAATCTGTGATTTTAAATAAACAAAGTATCAATAAAGTTATAATGGTTAATCCTCAGGGGAACATGAGTTTTCATTGGTAGCTGAGATGTTTTATCGTGTCACATGACTCGTATGTTTTAGGTTACACAGTCGATATCGTGAACTCGCTCCTCATCTAGTTCCGCTGGATTACACCAACAACCCCGACATCAGGGTTCCTCTGACACTCATCGTCACCATGCCGGAGCTCAAGGTAGGTAGTCCTCTTTACACCTGTGATCCTTCACCTGTGATCCTTCACCTGTGATCCTTAACCTGTGTGACAGGAGAACCCGTTCAGAGACAGAATCGTAGAGACGTTCTCCGAGGACGGACACGGGAACCTCAGCTTCAACGACTTCGTCGACATGTTTTCTGCACTCTGTGAAACTTCACCCAGAGAGCTCAAGACCATCTACGCCTTCAGGATTTACGGTAAGATGGAGGAGAGGAAGGTAGACAGGCAGACAGAGTCCTCAGTGTCCTTAGTGTTCTCATAGTTCTAAGAGTCCTCAGTGTCCTCAGAGTCCTCAGTGTCCTCATAGTCCTTGGTGTCCTCAGTGTCCTCATAGTCCTCAGGGACCTTGGTGTCCTCGGCATCCTCTGATTCCTCGATGTCCCCAGTGTCCTCAGTGTCCTCAGAGTCCTCAGTGTGATCTTGTGGTTGTGGTCCAGACTTTAACAGGGACAACTTCATCTGTAAGGAGGACCTGAAGAAGACCCTGAACAAGCTGACCAAAGGAGACCTGACCCCCGAGGAGGTCTCTCTGGTCTGTGATAAGTCCATGGAGGAGGCCGACCTGGACGGGGACAGCAAGCTCTCCTTCTCCGACTTCGAGAACATGGTATCAAAGGCTCCGGACTTCCTCAGGTACCAGGACTCTGCTGTCTTTATTGATCTCTCTCTCATCAATAATGCGCCGTGATTGGTCGATCAAACTTCTGTCAGGAAGCTCTTTAGAAAAAAAAGTTGCTCAGTACAGAACTCAGAGCAATTGCCTCCAACGGCTCTCAACATGGCGACGGTGAGCCTACAAGCTAGCAGCTAATGATGCTAACAACAACAACAAAGCACTAAAAGGCACGCTCACATGCACTAACGTGCATTAAAAAGCATTCTAACACGCACGCTTACATGCACTAACATGCACTAAAAGACACGCTCACATGCACTAACGTACACCAACATGCACCAAGAGGCACAGGTTTTGATTCTACGACAACAATATCTTGACCACAAATCACCATTTCTCTGCATCACTGACGGATGTGATCAGTGTTTCACATTTAAACCACACCCACCAGTGATGTCACAGTATATGCTCCAGAACACTGTGACATCACAGCGGTGAGGTGAGATGTTAAATCACCGGAGGTCAGCAAAGACGGGGGTTTTTAGCTGATCTTTGAAGGGATTTGATTGGCCGATGAAACATCTGTCCCTCTGAAGGATCTTTGTGGTCCAACAGATGAAACTCATCCTGTTTCTGTTTTTGTCTGCAGTAACTTCCACGTACGAATATGAGACTCTTCAGAGGACACAACGTCTCCTCCTGAAACCCTCCGACCCACCTCGACTCAGTGCCTGACCTTTCTATCGCCGGCGGAGAGTCTTCTTCTGGTCTGGACTCACAGAAGACACGTTTCAGAGGGAAAGTAGTTACTGCATGAAAACCTTCTCTTTAAAAGACGGTGTTGTGGAGCGATGAAACTACGACGGGGCTAATTTTATACCGAGAGAGAGCGTCTCCGACGTCTCCTCTGGACCGTCTCGCTCCTCGGAGACGCTTTGGGAGACGCTGCAGAGCAAACAGGGCTTTTCTGACTTCTGTGCTTTTGCAGAAAAGGTCGGATCCACCGATGGGATTCATTTCAAAAAGCACAGTTTTAAAGGGCAAACAAACAGTGAAGAGCTATGCAATGTGTTAATGAAGTGCATGTTGTAAATGGCTCCTAGCTGTGTTCGGTTTCTTCTTCTGGTGTTGTGACTCGTTCTGGTGCATAATGACAATCACAGTAGACTGTAGTTCAGTTGATGGAAGGGCTCTCTGTCGTCTCACCTGTAAACTTTGGCTTTGATAAATCTCTCTTTTCCTTTTCACTCATTCAAGAGAAAAAAGGTTTTCAGGCTAGATTAGAAATAAATAAATAAATAAATAAAAGATGTTTCTGTTTCTCCATGAAGCTTCTTAAACTGATCCAGGTTCATCTGGAATATCTCAACTCTCCTCTGAACACACTCTTCTACTGATTCATGGTTCCTTTAAACGTTCTGCAAAAAACAGACAGAATACTGTTTTATATTAAGACGCTAAATACACACTAAAGATCTAGAAGAAAACAGACTAAATGAAGCAAATACTGCCCCCTAGTGCCAAGGATCTGGAATGTTACATATATGTCACAATGGGCGTTTACGTATCAATGTTTTCCTCATTTTAAAAGGTCATTTAACCTATTTTTGATTGGTAACAAAGATTTGCCTTTTTATTTGCATTTCCACAACACATATCAAAAGTATAACCTTTCTGGTTAGATTTAATCAAAACATTTTTTTCAGATTTGTTTTACAAGACAGAAATGTCTTCTTTATGATCTTCATCCTGTCGTTCATTCTGATCAATACTGCAAAATAAATAATTAAATTACCTTGAAATAGGACCAAAATAGGAGTTAAATCTAGTTTGTTTGTGTGTTTTATTTGCTGATATACATTTTTACTTTCATTTTGTCATAATTCATTTTAATAATAATTTAAAAAATTTGAATTTTTTTAGTTTAAATGTCTTTTGAATTCAGCAACAGAACATATTTTAACTAAAATATTTGAATCAGGTAAATCAATTGAACAGCTCATTACTATTTGTCTTATTGTGAAAAATATGTCACTTTGTTTTCTGAGACAATTATAAGACATATCTGTCACATCAGTATTTTCATAACTTTATATATTAATATAAATTTATAGATAAATGAGTTTGATAAACATGGTTAGAACAGTTTAGATGTAATGTAGGACATGTTATCAAAGCATTAGAATTGTTAAATGTGTTGAAACTTACCTTTAGCAAGAAAAACAAGCTTTTTGAAATTAGCTCGTTCTGCCACATGTGCTGACCAGCCAGGCAGCCATTTTGGAAGTGATGTCATTGGTACACAAATGACCTCACTGTCACATGACCTCACCAGGATGTTCAGTATGTGTCACTTAGGGACTTCAAGAGTTAAAATCAAAGATGAAAGGAACTTTCCAGGATATTTAAAGTGTCACCGTGGGTCCTTCTGGGTTAAAAATGACACAGACCTCATTCTGTGTAAAATATGTATTTCAATCTGTTGATCTGAAGTTAATGAGCGACTTCAACAAGTTACTGTGGTTTCAGTTCAAAGTCACTTTTGAATAAAGAAAAACCACAATCTTCCTTTCAGAAACTAAACAATAAAACACCGTCCTGTGTTGTGGTCGGAGCAGCAGATAAAGAAGAGCTTCAGTCTCTATTCTATAAACGTTAGTCTCAACGTTCAGTATGAGCTCACTTCACAACAGCTGCTTCACTGAAACATCACAGTCTCCTGATTTTGTTCCCATAAAACTAACAGGCTTCAGGTTTCAGGATTCATGCTTCATGCTTCAGGTTTCAGGCTTCAGGGTTCAGGATTCAGGATTCATGCTTCATGCTTCAGGCTTCAGGTTTCAGGATTCATGTTTCATGCTTCATGCTTCATGCTTCAGGTTTCAGGTTTCAGGTTTCAGGATTCATGCTTCAGGGTTCAGGATTCATGCTTCAGGTTTCAGGTTTCAGGCTTCAGGTTTCAGGCTTCAAGCTTCAGGCTTCAAGCTTCAGGTTTCAGGTTTCAGGTTTCAGTTTTCAGGCTTCAGGTTTCAGGCTTCAGGGTTCATGATTCATGCTTCAGGTTTCAAGCTTCAGGTTTCGGGTTTCAGGCTTCAGGGTTCAGGATTCATGCTTCATGCTTCATGCTTCAGGTTTCAGGCTTCATGCTTCAGGTTTCAGGCTTCAGGGTCCAGGATTCATGATTCAGGCTTCATGCTTCAGGTTTCAGGCTTCAGGGTCCAGGATTCATGCTTCAGGTTTCATGCTTCAGGCTTCATATTTCATGCTTTATGTTTCATGCTTCAGGCTTCAGGCTTCAGGCTTCATATTTCATGCTTTATGTTTCATGCTTCATGCTTCAGGCTTCAGGCTTCATGTTTCATGCTTTATGTTTCATGTTTCATGCTTCAGGCTTTATGTTTCATGTTTCATGCTTCATGCTTCATGCTTCATGTTTCATGCTTCATGTTTCATGCTTCATGTTTCAGGCTTCATGTTTCATGTTTCATGTTTCATGCTTCATGCTTCAGGCTTCATGTTTCATGCTTTATGTTTCATGTTTCATGCTTCAGGCTTCATGTTTCATGTTTCATGCTTCATGCTTCATGCTTCATGTTTCATGCTTCATGTTTCAGGCTTCATGTTTCATGTTTCATGTTTCATGCTTCAGGCTTCATGTTTCATGCTTTATGTTTCATGTTTCATGCTTCAGGCTTCAAGCTTCATGCTTCATGCTTAATGCTTCATATTTCAGGCTTCATGTTTCATGCTTCAGGCTTCATGCTTCATGTTTCATGCTTCAGGCTTCATGCTTCATGTTTCATGCTTCAGGCTTCATGTTTCATGTTTCATGTTTCATGCTTCATGCTTCATGCTTCATGTTTCATGCTTCATGTTTCAGGCTTCATGTTTCATGCTTCATGCTTAATGCTTCATATTTCAGGCTTCATGTTTCATGCTTCAGGCTTCATGCTTCATGTTTCATGCTTCAGGCTTCATGTTTCATGTTTCATGCTTCATGTTTCATGCTTCAGGCTTCATGTTTCATGCTTTATGTTTCATGTTTCATGCTTCAGGCTTCAAGCTTCATGCTTCATGCTTAATGCTTCATATTTCAGGCTTCATGTTTCATGCTTCAGGCTTTATGTTTCATGTTTCATGCTTCAGGTTTCATGCTTCATGTTTCATGCTTCATCTTTCATGCTTCATGTTTCATGTTTCATGCTTCAGGCTTCATGTTTCATGTTTCATGTTTCATGCTTCAGGCTTCATGTTTCATGCTTCAGGCTTCATGCTTCATGTTTCATGTTTCATGTTTCATGCTTCAGGTTTCATGCTTCAGGCTTCATGCTTCATGCTTCAGGCTTCATGCTTCATGCTTCAGGCTTCATGCTTCATGTTTCATGCTTCAACCTTCAGGCTTCATGCTTCATGTTTCATGTTTCATGCTTCAGGCTTCATGTTTCATGCTTCATGTTTCATGCTTCAGGCTTCATGCTTCATGCTTCAGGCTTCATGCTTCATGCTTCAGGCTTCATGCTTCATGTTTCATGCTTCAACCTTCAGG